TATTTTTTTTTTTTATAATTTTTTCATGTTATTAAATAAGTGAATACATTTAATATTATGAATCTTACATAAATTAAAAAAATTAATTATTTTAATAACACGTCAAATTATATAAAAAATATGATAAAAAAATTATACAAATATCATTTAAAAAAAAAGAAAAAAAAAGAATCTAAGCGCTGCATTGCAATTTGTTTTCTTTACTAATTCCTTAGTAATTACAAACTATACTAAAATTGATTAATTTAAAATTAATTCATATCAAATTTTATAAAAAAAATCCTCTCATCAATTTTATTTAAAAATAATTCAATCCCTTTTCCTCCTACCAATAAATCGTTCGAGTTATGCTGGTAAGCAAAGCCGCGTCAAGTTAACATCTCCTTCAGGGAATCAAAATCCCCTTGCTTTTATATTATTCCGCGTCAACTAAGAAATAATAGTTCCTAGTACTAGATTGCTATTGCTCACCTACCTCCCCCAACTCCAACTACTGCTGTACAGTACCATTTGGAGGGAGAAAGACACGATTTTTCAGATCGATCCTTCTTGAGAAAGAGGGGAAGAGAGAAAGTAGAATGACGAAGGGCATAGCTGAAGTGGGTATTGAAGAATTAGCTAAAGCCGGTGGTTTAAGCTCAGAAGAGGCCACGGGAATCCATAAAGTCATCCGACAAGCCATAGCAGTAGTGGAAGCGAAAGGTTCTGACCCAAGAGAGGTATGGTAGGAAGTGGTGTCCAGAAAAGTGTTAAAGCCATGGCACCCACATTCGCTGCTTCAGCTGGTCTACTACTCTGTGTATTCCAATTGGGATTCTTCCACCAATGGCCCTCCCCTTTACTGGTTCCCTTCCCTGTAATGTTTTCTTTCACTCTCTGTTATCCGCATTCACTTCCTTTTATTGATGAGTGACATGAGTCTATTTTCTTGTTGCTTAGAGAAGTCTAATTACTGTATGAATTAGTATAATTGTTCTTTGGAAGTCGAACTATGCAAAGGTCTATTAAATCAAAAGATGTTTGGCAGCAAAGAATGATATCTTGGCATTGTCACTGTATGAGTCAGTTTTATTATCTCTCTTTTTAAATGATTAAAATCTGCTCCTTGTACAGATATCAATCTAAACTTACAAACATAGGACATGTAATGGAGACTTATGTTCCAAAGTTATTAGGGACTTCCAAGGCCCCAGTTACAAGTCTTAACCTTTTCAGGAAATTCTCTGTTGAACATTCTGAGGTAGGTATTGCTTTCTAACTGGGATCCTTTTCATGTAAATACTTAGCTTAATGGAAGAATATTAGTTTACAACGATTTCTGTTGATTCTGAGATGTGAACTTTGAATTAATATTTCAGGCTTATTGGTTAGTTATTCTAAAAGAATGCTATCAATTGTGTTTCGGGAAGCTCCAAAATGCATTCTAGATACATTAGACAAGTCAAAACCTGGGGGTAGATGGCTTCCAGGTTCACTTTTGAATATTACTGAACGTTGTTTATTACCCTCAAGCCATCCAAAAAAAGAGGATGATAGTTGTGCTGTTGTATGGAGAGATGAAGGGTGTGATGACTCAGAAGTAAGCCATATGACATTAAAAGAACTTTGCGAACAAGTAATGGAGATAATCGTGTCTCTTCCTCTGTTCCTGACATTAAACTCAGAAGTGAGCCGTATGACATTAAAAAACAAAAACAATTTATGTTGGTATCTTGGCAAATCCTACTGTGTCCTTGCCATCATGTGCCTTCCGACAGAAATGCTTCACATAATCCGAATACAGTCATACAGAACTTGCTTGTAAATTGGTTTCTCATTGTTTGCAAGCATCTCCGGCAAGTGTCCAATCATATCCAAAAGGCCTTGGGTTAACGAAAATGGGGACTGAAATCTGGTTCTTACTAGCATTAGCAATCACACGTGTGTTCAATACTCTTGTATTAACCATTGCTTAGTGTCTACAGAGCATCCCCAATGTTAAATCGCAAGGCAGCCATTGATGGGAGGGACATGAATCCAGCTATCCTTAATGTCCTTTTATGTATGGCCCTCCAATTTCATCTTGGAGGGGCATTGTAAGGGTTGTGACATTGGAGTGACGTCCCATTCCAACAGTGAGTTCAAGGTTCGAACAATATGGGGGAGTACTAGTAGCTTAGGTTGACTCTCACTAACCCTATCAAGAGAGATTTTTTGGTTTCATCAATTTCTTTTATATTCAATCTCTTCATCAGAACCTGAAGCAATTGCTTGATCATAACTTCAGAGCCCTTCATGGATTCCAGCACTTCATCCCTGAGATCAAACAATGATATAAGTGATTTTTATTAGATTTTCACCCGCAAGCAGGAGGCCAGAGTGCAGCAGCTTTCACTTCAGGCCTAGAGAAGAGACGAAGGTAAATCTTTCCACTCCAAAGCCTTCTCAGCTTGAGGCCTAAAGCTTGTGCCAAACCTGACACTATTAGAAGAAGAATAGTCTTTGGAATACTTATTCTTCTCCTCAGCTGGAAGTCCGAAGAACCTATGAGTTGCACCATGAACATTATCCAGCACTTCCAGGGGCACCCCATGGTTTATAATCTGGAAGAACCCCTTTTGTCTGCTGCATCACAGATCGAATTTGCGACACTTGGGTCTTCCTAGTTGGACATATCAATAATAGGCATGGATTCCCATTGGTTGAATATAACGTTTGGGAAGGGCTATGAGTCCCAATTCTGAAAGACCACCCTTCACCGCATTCCCCTTGTTTATGAGAAAATGGGTAAAGGCCGTAGGGTCGGTGGTTAGGAATGCAATTGCCAGAGCCATTGGTATTGGCTAATTGGGATATGTAGAGCAAGAAATAGGAGGTACTGGGTATGGAGGGAGGAATGAACAGCTCAAGACGAGTTGTGGTGTTTGCTTTGACATCCATCTATGATTTTTTATACTACAAATAATATCATTTTTTCTTTAATGATTAAATTTAATAATAAATAAATTTTATTTTATAAAATATGTTTAAGATTTAAATCTAAAAACTAATATTTTAAAAAATTAATTTCTTTTAAATATATCATATCAATGTGGAAAGTGAATTTTTAAAATTATTTTTAAAAATATTAATCTCGAAAGCTATAAAAACTAACTCAAAGACATCCCATCATAAATAAAAGGAAAAAGAAAATACCATTTTTGGTTTTTTTTTTTTGTTACTTTAATATCACGCGGGTGATGAGATGATAGCCTTTTGAAATTACTTAATGGCAATAACAAGGCTTCGTGGAAATTGCTTATTATCTCACACCAACCATAGAAATCTATACGCTATACGGTATACGGACGGCTAAGACTGGATTAGGACCTACGTGAGAAATAGAAAATCCCATAAAATCACTTTCACCAGTGATGTAAAAAATATTATTTTACTTGAGAAAAAGAAGCATTTGACACGTTAGGTGAAAAAATCAATTACACAAATCTCTTTTTCTGAGCCTTGGGCTTACGTAGAATCCAGAATCCAAGTTGGTGACCTTTAAGTGGGCTTACAAATCAAAATCCAAACCCTATATAACTCTGATTTGGTTGGCCCAAAAAATGCACTCCCATAGACACTAAACCCTAGTGATCTATATATATTGTGTTCTCCTTTTAGCGTCGCAGAAAACCCTAGCCAGTCGTCACCCAGCCGAATAGGAAAATGAAGTTCAACCCTAGGGTTTCATCCTCCCGCCGCAAGAGCCGGAAGGCCCACTTCTCGGCCCCGTCCAGTGTCCGACGGGTGCTGATGAGTGCGCCGTTGTCCACTGATCTGCGCTCCAAGTACAACGTGAGATCGATGCCGGTGCGGAAGGACGACGAAGTGCAGGTTGTTCGCGGGTCCTACAAGGGCCGTGACGGCAAGGTGGTCCAGGTTTACCGCCGCAAATGGGTCATCCACATCGAGCGCATTACCCGCGAGAAGGTTAATGGGTCGACCGTGAACGTCGGTATTAACCCCTCCAAGGTCGTAATCACGAAGCTCAGGCTGGATAAGGACCGGAAGTCGCTCCTCGATCGCAAGGCCAAGGGACGTTCAGCTGCTGACAAGGACAAGGGAACCAAATTCACTGCCGAGGATATCATGCAGGGTGTCGATTGAGGTTTTATGTCGCCTCGTTAAATTTTTTTGTGGGAAAATTGGAACCTGTTTTGATTTTAGATTGTTATATTATTCTGTTATGGATCTGGATCATTTATACTTTTGTGGATCTTATGATGACTTACTGTTTGTTTTATGCTAAAGTTTTGATTTTTCGCTAGTGATAGTAATTTATATTGGCTTTTCTCTCGTGTTTGGCTATATGTTTTTGCAATGGTTTATGGATATATGTGGTGATTGATAGCAATTTTTTTGAATGTATGCAAAATTGCAAATTGATTATAGATATCTTCAGTCAAAAGGGATGCACAACAATTAGTGCACACAATTAGTGCCTGTGAGGATGCTGTGACTAGATTGTAGAGAAGTGTGTCTACACATGACCATTTCTTGAGTTCATTTCTTATGCATTCCTCTCTGCGTCAAGAGTGTTCTGAATTTTTGTTTTATGATTTTCATTTCCAATTTCATTTGTTTCTTTTGTCTCTTCCACCCTCGAGTATTCTTCGTCGAAGGCGAGGGAATTTCAATTTTCACTCCTCGTATTCAGATTGTCATACTTTCGTCTTCGTCTATGTATATTCCATTCCAGTTGTTGGGTTGCTCCCATATGCAAGTGGGTGTGTATTCAAGATGTCGGAATTGGATGCTATGGGTTGAAATTCCTTACAGGATACACGAAGGCATACTGATCGTAAATTATTTAAGACAAATTCAGTAAGATAAATGTCTCAATCTTTTATTTAAAATATGGAGGTGATACCAGCTGTTGCTGGGGAAGTTTAAAGCTAACAGATTATTTTGATCTCTTTATCTGTGCATCTAAAATGTGTTTTCTTATCAGGTCAAAAATCCGTTCTGAGTTCTGATGCTGCAATCTGTAACTTACACTTGGTACAACAGTTTTTGTCTCTCTCTCAAATTCCTAACGCTTATTGAGAGTAGAGACCTTCCAACGAGGAGTTTTTAAGGTTTTAGAGAATTGCTAGGGGCAGAACGGTTTTACCATAAGACGTTCTTTGATTCTAGTTTTTCCACAATAGGCTTCTCCTGGCTTGATTTTGGATTCTTGGTTCTAATGTATTTAAAAATTGCCCAGCTGATGTTTTGAGCGATGATTAAGCATGTGTTTCGATACACTTGTAAGTCTGTAACCTTCAAAATTTTCGAGAAAACAAAATGAATATCATTTAGGTAAATAGCATTCACCAAAATTGATGAAAAATAAAGAAAAACAATGGCACTGCTTCATGAAAAGGATTATTGAAACTCGGAATATCAAAATCGACCCTTACATTTATTTATTTTTATTTTTATTTTGCCAATAAATTCACCGTTCCATTGAATGAGAAAAAGGAAGGAACATAGGTAAAATTCAGAAGCAATTGGACCTGCTTTAGAGCAGGGAAAGCTCAGAAATTATCTTCACGAGGTGCAGAAGAACAGTCTACCGTAGTCTAACTTGCACCACTGAATGTAGCTTCTATCAATCAAACTTAACTCTAATGTATGTGTGTCAAAATGCCAGAAACTTTCATGACAATATGCAGTAACAGAAACAGAAGACCATGGTAAAGCCCAAGCACCAAGCAACCGTCCAGAGTCATCAAGCGCCTAGAAATGAATGAATAACAAATTTGCCTGCTACTTATTGACACTCATTAAGTCCCAGCAAAATAAATTATGGCATCATGTTCTAGCATGTGCAATTCTTGCAATGAACCATCAGGGTTTGAGAGCAAGGGCCAATCCAAAGCGGGGATTTTTGTCCAAGTTCTTGGTGTCAACCTCACTAGAAATTGTCAGCACAGATTTTGGTATGACCTCATGCTGCAACAATGCCCCAAGTCTCCCATGATTGTTGAGCTTAGCTTTAACCACGGTCAGGTGGTCAATGGCATATAACCCTCCAACCGTAAAAGTGTTCTCGTTTGTGGAAAACCTTCTTGTGATCTCTGCTACAGCAGCACTCTTCTTCAGCTGGTCAAAATGATGCACATAAGATGCTTTTATAGAGTCACCCTTGTCGCCCCTGGGAGTGAGACAGGGAAAACATAGAAAATAATTAAGCCTTAATCTTCTAATTGCTTAAAATTACTTGAGAATAATAGGCGTAAGTCAGTGCTTACAGGATTATTGAAGCACAAGAGTCTGGCTTTGTCACACTAATACCAGCAGTGTACTTTGTAAAACTTCCCAAAGTGGTGTCATAACCTGCTTCTGCACCAAAAGCGATAGCTGGTGTTCCAATGGCAGCTGAGACATCAATAGCAGGTGTTTGGTTCATTGCAACTGCTGTTGTGAGATTTGCATGGTCATGGAAATAATGAACCTCCAACTGTAACATATACAAGACAGTATATTAGGGCCTCACAATCATCATCATGATAAACTTTAGCTTCAGAGACACTACATCCCACCTTTCCTGAATTATAATCGGGAACTTTGAAAGATGCAATAGTTTTTGTTGACGGAAGAATCCCAGTGAATGTAAAGGTTGTTGAGATCTGGCAAAACAACATCAAAGAGTAAGATGGCCATCTAGCAATGCAATTTGTTGTTTAACAAATTTCAAACAAAGGAATGAGCACCCACGTTGGATTCTGTATCAACTTTGACATCAACTATGGTGTTCTTGTACTTGTACTGAACACCAACATCCCCAGTTGAGAGTCCTCCTTTCTTAAGCGCTGTTGACGTCAGGGCCTGAATAGAAGGGGGAGAAAGGAATTGCAACAAAAGAGCAGCTGAATGTGGTAACTTAAGAGGATGTTGCAATCAACAGCACAGGATGTATAGCAAATTCAACAAAAATACATGCCCACAAATTGGATTTTAGTGTTAATTAAATCTCTTTTAACCCCAGAAACCCCCCTCCCAAATAGTGATAACAAGCAATATTTGGGAAATAAGATATTGCAATGCTAAAATCAGTACCCTTTCTATCTACCACTTAGAAAAGTAGGAACCAGGGCCCTTTCAACACTTCACAGTGTCAAGTCAATAAGAAAGAAAGAAAGATCACATGATTTATACTGGAATTATTTAGATCAGTTGCTTACAAGTATCATGTACCAATAGCTAAATCTATGTACCTCTGCAACTAGTTTGTCCAGCTTCATTTAACTTCCTAATAAGAGTATGGTTGTTCATCTGTTAAACCCAACAAAATTTGTACACAAACAGGAATTAACGTTGCTTCTCATAATGCCTCTAAATTTGTCCCTTTTGGCCCGGTGAAGCAACCAAAATAAATTTTTAATCTACTTATGGGCACAATATGACCACTCCACCGCTGGCTTAGGCCTGGCCTTTAGCTATATCTGGGTTTCGGTTGAACATGTTTTGGGGTACACTTTTATAACATCTCATCCTGAAACTTCTTGTGGTTACCATTTTTGATAAAATATTCATTAAAATCAGTTGAAAATCCATGAACACCAACTACCAACCAGAAAAAATGGGTGGCGCCGGTGCACCACCACTACAAACAAATCCTCATTAACAAGGAGAAAACAAGGCATTTGAAACATAAACTTCCATGACCATTAAATATGTAAAGGTAGCATTTTTGAAATGACCAAGAGCCCTAAAAACTCATGTCTTTGAAATCATGAAATGTCCACAAGGACCACACACTAATGACAGCCTTCTGGCTCCAGCAAAGTTCAGTATTCCATCCATCCAAAGGTAAAAAAAAAAACATATCAGACGCTCTTAATCATAATCATAATGTCATTCCAAATTCAAATTTCAAAAATCACAAGCAAGGAAGATCTAGCTATCAACCAACTCATCAACTCTGTGCATTACAAAAATCACATACCACTCCGCCATCACTGCAAGTAAAGACAGTGACTTTCTGATCGGTGATATAGTCCTTGGTCAAAAGATCTGCATATCAAAGAATTGATCCAAAACGACGGCTTTAAACGCGAATGACACATTCAAAA